GACTGTATAGATGATATAAGTGGTGACTGTATAGATGATATGTCTGGTGACTGTATAGATGATATGAGTGGTGACTGTATAGATGATATGTCTGGTGACTGTATAGATGATATGAGTGGTGACTTTACGGATGATACGAGTGGTGACTGTACAGATGGTACGAATGGTGACTGTAAAGATGATACAAGTGGTTACTGTACAGATGATATGAGTGGTGACTGTGTAGATGATATGACTGGTGACTGTATAGATGATACAAGTGGTGACTGTATTGATGATACGGATGGGAACACCGGGTGCAGTATGTCGATCTTTCGCCGTGGGTGCTGACAGTATAGATGGTTTAGCTAGTCTAGATATCGGTAGTCGAGTTGGTAACGCGGCAAATCCGTGCTTGACTCCCCGCATGCGTACAATGTGTGCAATTCATGTCTTGAAGTCTATTTCAGTTACATCACGACGTGGCAGCTTGATGTGAGTGCTAAGAATGGTACGAACAACTAAGGATCACATATAAGCCATTCTTGAACCCAAGCTCTCAGGGTCATGGAGAACTTAAGGGTCCGACGACACGGCCATCCGTGCAGGAACATCCTTTAAAATAATTTAATGTATGGAAACAGATGCAGTGGGACCTCATATCTGATATCTATGGGCAAATGTGTACCATGATGCTGAGACATTTGTATGCCTTATTTCAGAGACCGTGTCCATGTTAAAAGAAGCCATCGATCGATACAAGTCTCGTTGTAGGATTAACCAACGCTTGAAATAAGGATTGATGAGTAGTGAGTGAGTGAGTGAGTTTGATTTTACGCCGCTTTTAGCAATATTCCAGCAATATCACGGCGAAATGGGCTTCACACATTGTACCCATGTCGGGAATCGAACCCGGGTCTTCGGCGTGACGAGCGAACGCTTTAACCACTAGGCTACCCGACCGCCCGATTGATGAGTACCTTTAATTAGAAAACCAAATTAGGCAATAACAACACACCACCGCATTGATACTTGAACAAGATAACACAGCACCACAAACAGAAGAGAGAGAGATATTGGGTCAATTTCCCGTCAGGCCTTACCACTTCCGCTAACACATCCGGTTAAACTCAGTGACATGAACACTTACATAAACCAAAACTGCTTGTATTATATCTGAGTCTATCACCAAATATGATTCATAGCCATTGTTATAACGTGTGTATGGTGCTGACTGACCTAGATTAATATTGAGGTCGAGTCGGGGATTGACAGTGGCTTGCTCGAATCAGGAGAGAAACTAATTATTTAAGAGAGCAAGAGTTTTATTGACGCTTTGAGTGGATGTTTCATCTTAGATATTACCTTCGGTTTAAAGATTCACATATTCTCAAACACTACATTTTCTGTATATTCAAGTAATTTGTACTTTTACGAATGTTTCTTGGGCATTCTGTTAAAATCGTAGCTGCTCAAATCGGCAATCCTGTGGTCCAGGTTCCCACTTAAGCTTTACCTACTACTACTACTACTGGGGCGGTCGGGTAGCCTAGTGGTTAAAGCGTTCACTCATCACGCCGAAGACCCGGGTTCAATTCCCGACATGGGTACAATGTGTGAAGCCCATTTCTGGTGTCCCCCGCCGTGATATTGCTGGAATATTGCTAAAAGCGGCGTAAAATCTCACTCACTCACTCACTCACTACTACTACTACTACTACTACTACTACTACTACTACTACTGCTGCTGCTGCTGCTGCTGCTGCTGCTGCTGCTGCTGTTGTCTCATTAAGGGGTAGTTTTGATTTAATAGTTATAAGTTATGCACTGTAGCACGTGGAAGACTATTCAAACGTAATGCAGAAGATGTGAAAGCCTACCTCGCTATCTGCATCATGTCGATTTGCAACCACGTCAGTAACAACAACACACGTGTACTATGCTTTAACCTATATTGGCTAGGTTTCTCGGCAGGATACGGGCAAACGGATAAACGATATCCGTTGGGGTCATGTGCGGATGGAGATGCAAATATCAAAGGTCAAGTAGGGACTACTTTCAGTGTTTACAAACAAACATGGCATCGCCCTTGTCATTCCGCGATCGTGTCAGAATTAACTATTGGGAATCTGGAGAAACTACTGGGATAATTGCTTTCATTGTCAAAAGAATAGTTTAATATACTGAAAATCAACGTCTAATTACAACGGTGACGTAGCTGAGGCATTTTACAAGCTTCACAAGTGTATTTGGAACAAACACTATGTATTTAGCTCACCAAGGCATGCTAAATACAATTCCTAAAACAGGATATTTACCATCCCCAAACCCACTCTCGTGATAATCTCTATGCATCACGCAAAACATATAGAGGATATTTCGCTTGTCAGATATGATGTTTTGTATGTTTCAAACCTTTATTCTACACTATTCTGAGAATCCATCAGATGTATTCACCTTACTTGTTCAGCAGTGGCCGTTGTGAAGCCGAGCTGTGACAGTTGGGACCATTTCTGGTGTCCCCCACCGTGATATTGCTGGGATATTGTTAAGAGCGGCATAAAACCAGACTCGTTGACAATATGTTCATCAATGTGTTGTAAGATAGTACAGCGATAAATACACCGTTCTCAATTTAGAGCGAGGCTGGCTACCCGCGGGTAGACTTAACCGCGCTACTTTGAATTTGGAACCGGGTGCGCAGGTAACTTTGATCTAAATTGAAAACTACGCGTTTATCTACTTCCTATCGTGACAAAAATACCCTTAACTCTTTTGGGTGTTAGAAAAGCTATTGAGTGAAGCGGCATGGGTTGTTGATTGGAATGCAGGAAACACCCATAAAATCCTTGAAATAAATGGCGGTTCATGTTCTTTAACAGTATTGTTTTACATCTTTATGCACCCGTGAAGATCGAGGTTAGAATAGGTCCGTGTTTGCCGTAAAAGGCAACTACGATTGTCGTAAGATGCGATTAACGGGATCGGGTGGTCAGGCTCGCTGATTTGGTTGATGATGCCAATCACTGGACTGTCTGGTCCACTTCGTAAGCCACTCTACGTTAGCCGTCATATAGCTGGAGAACTGCTGAGTGCGGCGTAAAACAACAAACACATTCTCAAGTGAGATGACCTTGAAACCTAGAAACAATCAGCGTGAATCTGGGATTCATAGGTGGCCAGTACACCTAAGGGACGCAACTCTGCAAACTCCTTATACCACAGCACAGTGAAGACTCGTAGAAAACAGAAAGGTGTTTATCACATGTACGCGCACATAAACAAATAATTGACAAAGACCAAACAAAAACAACTACATATGAACGGTCATTCATTTGGTGAAGCAAATTGGGATTTAACGTGGATATGAAAAGTTTAGAGTACAGTGACCGTGCTTACTATTTTTACACGAAATAGATAAAAGTTCAGCTGAAATACTGAAAGATAATCATGGAACAGATGGATAAACGGGTGTCCATTAATCCCCAGCAGGACGGTCAAAGGATGCCTCTAGCGATGTCCTCAGTGTACATGTGTGTGATGTCAGAGCAACGTTTAGTAGTGAGTGAGTTGGGTTTAACGCCGCTTTTAATACTATTCCAGTTATATCACGGCGTGTCAGCTTAATGTGGGAGGAAAGCCCGAACAGGTCCGATGCAGGTCTCAGACGTTTACCAGTTCGGTGAAACCCACGAGCACGGGTATGACACTTCAAAATAATCATTAAAAAATCACCTGAATAATTATATTAGCCTTAAGGGCTAGGATACTGAATGATCGGTCCATTTCATGCCTATAGCCCATTTACATAAAACAACCTTAGTGCTAAGGCTATTTCTTTAACACAGACGTACAGTGACAGCAGTGCTAAGATCTCATTGTGCAAGTGAGTGAATGAGTGAGTGAGTGAGTTGGGTTTAACGCCGCTTTTAACAGTATTCCAGTTATATCACGGCGTGTCAGCTTAATGTGGGAGGAAAGCCCGAACTGATGCAGGTCTCAGACGTTTACCACTTCGGTGAAACCCACGAGCACGGGTATGATGCTGACAAACCTAGAAACATAATCGGGGCGAACCGGGCAACGTTTAGTAAGAAAGACTTGAGACATCGACTTATGATAAAGCAGGAATCGTATACCGTACAATCTTATGATTATGAAAAGGTTTTTTTCGCTTATATGTTTGTTACGTTTTGATCTATTTTCTTGTTTACCAGTTTCGTTTGATGGGTCACAGGCAGCGGTGGGGTTTGCCAAGTGGTTCGATTCCCTAAATGGTTACAAGGTGTGCCGCCAACCGTTGCTTCCCCTGTCGTGATGTGGTTGGAAAATAGCGATACCTCAATCAGCAGCCCGCTGAGGGTTCTGGCAACCAAGTAAAATGTGGTCGTTATTGAAACAATCAAACAATCAGTTTATTACCCAAAGGTGCCACCAACGGTGGTACATGAGCATACAATAATCAATATAAATAATTGATAAAGATGATACCGTTAATGTGGTTACACTGTTTCATGAAGGATAATTTGTAAATGTACACTAAAGAATAACAGTTTCTTTACTGATTGGTGATATAGTTTTAGATAGATTAAACAAATTTGACAACGTTTGGTATTCTATATTTATAAATATCTGCACATCTAAATAAATGATGGAATTCATCTGCAATACTGTACATAAATTACAACGTATATTATCTGCAAACGACAAGTTTCAATACGGTCAATGTTGACTTTTGCAGCAGTAGCAGCGGTACATGTACGATTGTTCACAGGGCTCGATACCTCGGTTATATTGACACTTTCATAATTCTTCTGCCGGTTATATTCTCCACCGGAGGGCATACATAATAGGTGAAGGACCTGTCCCGTATACCATTAACAGTGGTGGTGGTGCTGTTTGTTGTTTGTCGCGGCACTCAGCAATATTCCAGCTATATGACGGCGGTCTGGACCAGACAATTCAGTGATTGACATCATGAGCATTGATCCACGCAACTGGGATACGATGACATGCATCAACCAAGTCAGCGAGCCTGACCACCCGATCCCGTTAGTCGCCTCTTACGACAAGCATAGTCTCTTTTTACGGCAAGCATGGGTTGCTGAAGACCTATTCTACCCCGGATCTTCACGGGTCCCATTAACAATGAGATTCAACTCAAAGTGTTAGTCAAAGGAGAGCTTTGAGTATGGCGGTGTATCCGGCGTCTCTTCCGTTTTCTCTAAAACAAAATATTTATGATTTTGTCCCTTTCCCGAGTCCTCTTGTTCTATTGTGTAATACGGTGGGTCTTCTGCGCCTGTTGTGTCAGACGGTTCCTGGCTGTTGTCCTGATGCGAAACATCTTCCACAGTTATCTCCCCTGCTACAACTGCATGATTATAATCATTGTTTATCACTTGCTGTCTTAATTTCAGCTTTGTTTTGTCTAGGTAGTCATACATATGTGTCGCCCCGTTCTTGGGCTTAACGTGGTCCCCCAGCCGGTCATATTCATCCACATCATTTGACGTCACTTCCGGTCCAGTCAGGTCAGAGGACGTTGCGTAGGGTGGAAGTGTGCCGATGACATCCGGAAGCTCATACGTGTGATATTCTGAACTGGCTGCGTCACTGTGTTTGTCACAGAGGGCACGTCGGTCCTGAAATATACAAAAGCTCATGCTATTCTTTGCTAGACGACCACCTCCGTGGTCTAGAAGTAGAGCGTCAAGCAATTGTAGAATGACAATTGTTACAACAAGCAATTGTAGAATGACAATTGTTACAACAAGCAATTGTAGAATGACAATTGTTACAACAAGCAATTGTAGAATGACAATTGTTACAACAAGCAATTGTAGAATGACAATTGTTACAACAAGCAATTGTAGAATGACAATTGTTACAACAAGCAATTGTAGAATGACAATTGTTACAACAATCAATTGTAGAATGACAATTGTTACAACAAGCAATTGTAGAATGACAATTGTTACGACAAGCAATTGTAGATTGACAGTTGTCACAACAATCAATTGTAGATTGACAATTGTTACAACAACATGTGTAAAATGACAATTGTTAAGACAAGCAATTGTAGATTGACAGTTGCTTTCATCTTAACTGTTGCGGCGCTTCGGTGCAGATACTAGCATCTTTAAATGCAAATTACACATTGATTTTCACAAAAGGCTTGATGAACAAGTCTCACCGAAACGTCGCAAAAGTGTAAATAGAGAAGCTGTTATCCAAATAGGTGCTTGTTACACTTAAAGGGATGTTTTCAAGTCTTGATTGAAACTCAATTGAAACTCCGCATCAAGTACATGCAAGAGTCATAGGTCAATTGTTTACATAGTACTGGCAATCTGTTGACTCAAAAGTAAAAACTGGTAGTTTTAGGTATCGCCAAAGCGACAAGCAGCACTGAAACGTGCCAGTACTACCGGTTGGTTATTCATTGCCTAGAATCCCGTGAACATGATTATGTATACAATATACTCACATCTTCTTTGACCTTGACATCTGAAGACGTAACGTTTCCATTTGAAGACGCTCTGAAGGAACGAAACATATTATTTAATGTTATTTCAAGACAGCCAAGACAGTTCATTACCTACTTTGTCATATATCGTAATCAGAGTCTCCTCCGATGAAGAAGACATTCAGAGGAAAGGTTAAGAATTCTAAAGAGGATAAGAAGACGTGAAGATCCGGGGAAGAATAGATCATCAGCAACCAATGCTTGCCGTAAAAAGCGACTTTGCTTGTCTTAAGAGGCGACTAACGGGATCGGGTGGTCAGGCTCGCTGACTTGGTTGATGCTCATGATGTCAATCACTGGATTGTCTGGCCCAGACCCGATTATTTACAGACCGCCGTCATATAGCTGGAATATTGCTGAGTGCGGCGTTAAACAACAAACAAACAAACAAACATTTTGAGCTGAGCACCACCAAGCAGGGTAGCAACAAGTACCGCCTCTTCGTATGACGAAGCCCTTGATCGAATCGAAACCCTTGACCTCCGGGCAGTCGCTCTTATCCCTAACACCACAGATGCGGTCGTTTATTAAAAAGCCACCGTTACATAGTTACCGCATCGCCTACGGCGGCGTTGAACAACACACGCTTATTCTAGAATACTTACTTCATTCGACGCCTGCAGAGACTCCACAGGATGATAAAGAAAATTGTAAGGACCGCGCCCCCTGCCACGCCCCCAATTATCCCACCCAACAGTTGACCATTCGTCCCGTCCTCGAGTGCACTAACGGTGGTTTGTATACTGAATGTAGTCCCTGTCAAGGTGAAAAAGAATTAGTCCACAGGTGTCATATTAAACCAGACCTAAGTACATAATAACATTAGATCAGCAATAAAATTAAATCTATTTAATTTAATTGACAAAAACTGTATCGAAGATTGGTCCGAGTAAACATCTACAGAACACATATACACTTACATTGGGGGTAGCTACCCCTAGTTGTTAGTAAAGCACCAATTCAATGTTTTACGTGCTTCAGTTTCCGGGATTCTCTGGCCCTGAGTTTGAATCCCAGACTCACCGTCAGGAGCCCGTGAAGATCCGGGGTAGAATCCCCCGGCAACCCATTCTTGTAAAAGGCGAATATGTTTGTCGTAAGTGAGTGAGTGAGTATGGTTTTACGCCGCTTTTAGCAATATTCCAGCAATATCACGGCGGGGGACACCAGAAATGGGCTTCACACATTGTACCCATGTCGGGAATCGAACCCGGGTCTTCGGCGTGACGAGCGAACGCTTTAACCACTAGGCTACCCGACCGCCTGTTTGTCGTAAGAGGCGACTAGCGGGATCGGGTGGTCAGGCTCGCTGACTTGGTTGATGCATGTCATCGATCCCAATTGCGTGGATCGATATTCATGATGTCAATGACTGGATTGTCTGGTCCAGACTCGTTTATTTACAGACCGCCGTCATATAGCTGGACTATTGATGAGTGCGGCGTTAAACAACAAACAAATAAACAAACAAACTCACGGTCAGAGGATGTGGTCATCTCAATCGCTCGGATGTCCGTTCTGGGGGAGGAGGCAGGTGTAACTAACTCGGATGGGGTGCTGGTGGGTTGTGTTGTTGAAGATGGAGAGGTTGCACGTGTTGTCGTCGTAGTCGTCAAAGAATCACTGTCACCTCGAAAAGGATGCAAATAATACTGTAACAAAATCACTTTTCTCTCAAATAAAGGTAACATAAACTATCTGACAGGATACATACCTATTTTATTGTCCTTTCAATGATCACCTCATATGCAAAAGTATTTTTAGCTTTGCTACTAATTATATTTAGACGACGCGTATTTTTATGAGTCAATATTCTAAGTTTAAAGTATCAGAAGAATCACAGCATTATATACTCACATATGTCGATCTCCAAGAATTTACAAAACAAGATGATGAAACTGAAACACAAATAGTTCAATAAGATACATTATAAATTCAAGGGACCACGTGTTTCAGCAACCAATGTTTGCCGTAAAAAGGCGACTATGCTTGTCGTAAGAGGTGACTAACAGGATCGGTTGGTCAGGCTCGCTGACTTGGTTGATGCATGTCACCGTATCCCATTTGCGTGGATCAATGTTCGTGGTGTCAATCTCTGTTAATCACGATATTTGCCGATATTAATTAGTGTGGCGTTAAAAAGCAAAAAAGCAAACAAAAAACAAACATTATTCTATTCCATCAACGGTAAGTACCGCTCAAGGGGGAATATAATACTACAAGATAAATCTGTCCTCAACATAAAGATTTCTCAGTAAAAAATATACAAGGTCAACGCAATTCATCAAGAGAATTCACGTTTGCGATCATTAAATAATTTTCACGTGTTACGTGTTAAATCATTTTTTGGAGTAGGAGCGTGTATGGTCGAAGTACCCCTGTGCGGCGTTAGGCAACAATCAATCATATTTTGGTCGGCGGGCGCTACCGGTAGAGTAGGCCTGCTTATTCTTTATGCCAACACCTGGTGTCCAAACATATTTTAAGTTATCCATTCATATAATGTTCACCACTATGATCATCTTTAGCGCACAACGGAATATACTATTTCGGGAGAAAGTCAATACTGTTTATTAACTGGCGTTGATGTTGTATATATTACACTGAACCAATGCGTTCACTCTGACCTGTTGCATATGGGTCTTTGTTTCTTAGGCCTGGACGGCGACTTCTCGCATGATACCGAGTCTCGATTACACTCACACTTAAACTCTGAAACCAACATCCAAGTATTAGCACAATCATGAAGGGCTGAGTTAAGAATGGGACTGGATCGCGATGGATCTAAAAAAAACGCATCTATTACAAACACCCCGAAGTGATGCAGATCTCCGACGTTTACCACTTCAGTGAAACCCACGAGCACGGATATGGTGCTAACAAACCTAGAAACATAATAGGGGCGAACCGGGATTCGAAACCACAATCATAGGTTTCTGGCGTGCCAAAGGGACGCAACTCTGCACAGCGAATCGCAGCGCCTTAGACGGATCTGTTAACCCGTCAAAAGTGACCTAGCGTAAGACGGTGCCCCCAGGCATGTTGAACATCATGACATCACTTTCTCGTGGTCTCTGGCTTGTTATATCAAACTAACTAAATAAATAAATAAATAAAAACAATAACGAACATGTAAACAAAACCCAATTTTGGTACCTGTGTTGAAATAGTTGAAAGTGAAACTATTCCCGCACTCCTCAACAATGTCTTTCATATTTGGGTCGTTCTGTCCCTCATCGAGATCCAGCTCACAGCTGTGCCCTCCACCTTTAAGGCAGTGTATGAAGCTGGAATACATAAAGTAGAATCAGCCTATAGTCACGTTCACATTATCCGGAACCCAAATAATATAGTTTATTCATTGCGCCTCAGAGTCAGTTCAGTTTAGTAACTTTATTTCTCAGAAAGACGCACCAATGGTGGTACATGCGAAACATTATAATTTTAATTCATAATATAATAAAAATATCAATATCAAGATGAGGGGAGAATTGTGCAAATACATATGGGGATCAAAGGTTTCAATGAAAAATGATAAATAAAGTAACAAGAATCTTATACGCGTTTGCTGACAGGTTTAACATTTCTAAAGATGGTATTGATGAATTTGGACAAGTTTTGCATATCTTTTACTCTAATGCTGGATAAACATTTTTTTTCAATTAATACATATTAGGCCATTCGGAGAGATCTTTAGATGCGTACATAGACCGCTACTTGAGAAGCGTGGTTCACATCTAAACAGGTAATGAAACTCGTCACCATAATAAATTACACAAACGTTCCACTCTTGGGATATCAGACCGGCGTCCAGTTTCAATTGGTAACTTATGGTTTGTGGTTCTAAATGGTAAGATTGGGTTTAAACGTTTTTAGGCAGATAAAGATATTTTTTCAAAGGTTATATTTTCTTAAAACATTTTGTAGTACACACATTTAGAACTCTCAGTAATGGAACGGTGCCAATTCTGCAGGAACTGGTCTTTCAATATTTCTTCAACTTTTAAAGCAGGCCATGAAGAACACATTAACGGATTGTCAAATATTTCACCAGGGCCACAGTTGTCTAGTATTTTCTTGACAATGTTGTCCATGGAAGTTTTCTTGTTGTCATCATTATGTATTTCACGGTTTTGATGTGTACATAGTTGAAGTCAAGGATTCCTCTCATTCCAGCTGATATACATACAGATGACACTAAATTTGATCATGCTTATCAAAATCAATCCAAAGTATGATGTTAAACGGCATTATGATAGTATAGCTGTAAACAATTTAACCCCAATTAACAATTTAATTTAAAGGGGCCCGCGTCTTACAGATATATTGTCCAATATGCCTTCTCTCTTTATTCATTAAGAACTAGCGCGATGGAAACTACCGGTAATCCTGCTAATCACATGAACTGCCTTCAAGAGAAAGCATACAATTGAATTTGGATTTGACCCAAAAAATTACAAAGGCTATCAAAACGTTACTGGGCTGAAACAGTCGACGAAACACAGCAAATTTTAGGTCCAAAACACGACAATGATTCCCGTATCACATAAATCTCCATCGAAAAAACATTTCTTGTTTGTTTAATTTTAGCCACCATCAACCACGGGTGTATGCTGTCTTTTCAATGGCAGTTTAAATGTAATAAATTATCTTTTATTCATTGGATTAATTTCGCACTTGTTTAGATGTGTTATTATTACCTAATTTCTGTGTTTTCTAAGTCAAAATCTTGCAGTGTCATGGTGACCCCTTGTATTGCAGAGCTGCCGTCACTTGCCGGAGGGGCCACTGCCGTTGACGAGGAGGGGTAGATGAAAGTCTGGCGTCTGAGAAGCAAAGGTCACGCAGGTTACAAACAATAATCTCGTGTAGAATTTGGAAGTGTAAACGTGGTACTACGGAGCCTCGTCTATTTCACAAAAATGTCCCCACGTTTCCATCATCATCATCATCATCATCATCCGAATTTCGAACAAATAGGACCCAAAGTTTCACTATTTAGTATTAAACACATTTGATAATCACTATTGATAATCCTATTTGATGATAGCGTTACGGTTATTATAGCTAAAATTGATAGAATTTGTTATCAAATAAAAATAAACAACAATATTGGTTTTGAAACTTTTACTGCAATCAACACACAATGAATGTGACCAACCCACTTTCACAAATATGGAAACGTTTTAGCTATAAAATGTGTGAAGCCCATTTCTTGCGTCCCCAGCCGTGATATTGCAGGAATATTGCTAAAAGCGTCGTGAAAACCATACTCACCTACGCACTTTGATATACAGTAAACTACGGTTATAACGAACTCAAAGGGACTACTAATTTAAGTTCGTTATAACTGTAATTCGTTATAAGCATATATACAGTATAACAACAGCAAATAGTCGGGACTAAAAAGTTAGTTCGTTATATCCGTTAGTTCGTTATAAGCGTGTTCGTTATAACCGTAGTTTACTGTAGTCGCATTTCACAAATTCCCAGGTAATATGGTGGTATTTCATTTTGATTGCTTACCTGTTTCTGGGGTGTTGGGTAACTCCGGGGGAGGGTAACATAGAGGCCGGACCCCCAGGGACCTCGATACTCATAGCAGTGACAGGTCTCAGGAAGGTCATCACTGTTGGTACAAGGCTTATAATAAATGCATGGGCAATGAGTTGTATTATATCACTATATAAATGTTATTGATTATAATATGTGAACTATGGTTTTTATTATAAGCTGGTTATATGACAAATGAGGTACATAATCTTGATTCTACCATGAATTTGGAATTTACTCGATTCTGATTGGTCAATCAGAGGCTATCAAATCACAATAAACCCCCTCTGATTGAAACAGCTGGCTTGACGGCCGCATCTCCGCGGAAGCTAATATTCATAGAATAGTACTATTTTCAGTCATTGTCGGTAGGCATATTTAAATAATTATATCTACAATTACAGGTTACAAAATGAACAGATACGGTTACTACAATATTCAAAGGATATGTGGCAATACATTTCGTGCAGAAAAACACGTCAGAAATCAGCAAAGGGAATGTATTTACGTTTTGGAGACAACAGAGAGCTTGGAATTTTGGCGCTTTTCTATATACGACTGTGACGTCATATCTTTGCGTCACAATGAGCGATATGACGTCATAATGGTGACGCGCGATGTAGAGCGAAAGCCTTGCAAAGCTTGCTTTGTTTTCTTTAGGGATGCCCGCCTCATGTTAGCTTACCAAGTTGCCGTGCTTGTATGCTTTCAATGCCTGTCATATGTTCGAGTGAAGTATTACGGTGTAAACAAACTGCTTGAGTATATACGGCACCATATTTTGTTCGGTGATTCCGTAATTCAGATCGATAACCCACTCAAAACACTGAACTCAACCCATGCCGCTTCACTCAGTATATTTGCTAACACCAAAGAGTTCGCATTTTATCTAGTCATGGTAGAATGGAGATAAACATACTGTGTTTTCAATGTAGAGCTAGGTTACCTGTAGATTTAACCGCGCTAAATTTTACATTTGAAACCTCACGCTGCGCGTTCGGCTCCAAATTCAATTTAGCAGGGGTCTACAGGTAACCTAGCTCTACATTGAAAACACAGTATGTTTTTCTTCTAATTAAACTATCGGTAAATGAATGTGTTTAACTTTAAATCAAACATTATATTATAATCGTATTAAGTACTTTCGAGGGTATATGCTAAATGCAAAATTTTTACTCAAAGATATGATTATATATGTAGGTATTATGTAGATGGTTAGCTCATTAGGCGATTGGTGTTTAAGGGGAAATACCAGGTGATCACTGTTAGTCTGTGCTCAGGGTACTGTATGGTCCCCACAACACCTGAGATTGGTTTGTTTGTTGTTTTACGCCGCACTTCGCAATATTCCAGCTATATGACGGCGGACTGTAAATAATCGGGTCTGGGCCAGACAATCAAGTGAGTGATATCATGAGCATCGATCCACTCAATTGAGATGCGAGGGCATGCATCAACCAAGTCAGCGAGCCTTACCACCCGATCCCGTTAGTCGCCTCTTACGACAAGCATAGTCGCCTTTTACAGCAAGCATGGGTTGCTGAAATGGACCTTCGTGGTTGTACACGTCCATGTTGGTACAGCGCCCTGGTGATTCTGGGGAAGGATTCTATGCTTATTAAGAGAGCCTACGGAGCGGCGGAGTAGCCTAGTGGTTTAAGCTCTCGCTCGTCACGACGAAGACCCAAATAAAGAGGATTGGTCGATCAGGATCGATGACTTGGTCGATTGTGTGTCATTGACCGTTGTTCATAGTTTCAGTCACTGACTTGTTTGTCATGGGGATATAGCTGGAGTATTGATGACTGCGGCGTTTAACGACATTCACTCACTCTCTCACTAGCTTTGGATGCTTAGAATGAACAATTTATTGACGCCCCTCATTTACGTAATAAAAGGTTAAAATATATTCATATTTAGGACTTCATAATTAACTGGGTCACATTAATATCTCTGGCATAGTGAGTGAGTGAGTTGGGTTTAACGCCGCTTTTAACAGTATTCCAGTCATATCCTGGGGTGTCAGCTTAATGTGGGAGGAAAGCCCAAACAAACAATACTATAGGTATGTAGCTTCCTTAGTACAGTGAACAATTTTGAAAGTTCAAGGTTATTAAAGTTAGCTGATAGAGATCCAAACGATTAATGAGAACAATTTGCCACTTGAATGCTTTAAGAATATTATGTTATTTGAAGTGATGTATAAACGTAATGAATACTGCTATCGAAACAAAAACGATAAAACCTTAATAAGTATGTGTTTTAACGATCGATCATAACCCGTTCCCCTAACTGGACGGTTCATGGAAACGACGTCGTTATGCGCAATACACATGGTCACTGCCACGGGGGCTATGATTCAACACGGGACTGCGCATGCGTTTAACGGTACATATTCCCATATGCCCACTGGCATAACGTGCTTGAAAAGTTGTATGATAAAAACATTGAACACTACGCATCCAAAATTGTATATAAAATGTTACCCCCAAATGAATATCTGATTTAACCTAGATAACGCTTTCAATATGCGATTGTATTTGACAAAATCTTAATTTTCTCAAACATTGAAAGAAAAGTATTAAAATATTCTTTTTAAATCCTTAAGAATTTGTTTTAAGGAAATCAATAGTTTAATTTGTTAGTTTGATAAGTTCAATGTACAGGAAAGATGTGAATGAATATATATTTAAGAAACTAACATTTACATCATAAGTTGTATGCCTACCTAAAAAGTAAAAATATGCTGGAGTAAAGTTCGTTTAAACAATTATCTTTTTTCAATATCAGATCTAGAGATGTATAAATACACTTCAAATTATATACGCAATTTAATACACTGAAGATTCGCCATCGAAGCATACATACCAATATGGGTATTGTTGCAAACAGATGTACGGTGTCTGTGTGACCATAATTAATAATTCAATTATTAAAATTATTAATCAACTAGACACTTATTATTAGTATCTACACTATCGACGATATACAACTGTTGACACAATACAACTTTCCAGATTACAATAACAGCAAGACAAACGACATACATATGATTCTTAACTATTTTGATAGAAGTTGGAGTACTAAGTAAGGATAAGAATTTATGGATCACTTGCTTGATAACGGTGTTAGAACCTACACCGAAACGTTGCTCTTCATTGTAATAAAGAAGTTGTTCATCCATAAATTCTTATCCTTACTGTTTAAGAGACGGTGAGGTTTAAATCTTAAAATGCTCAACTTTTAAGATGGAGGTGCTACAATACTTACAAATTCACTATTTTTAAAGTCAAAATTGAATGGCGAAGTACTTACGGCATACAAAGATACGTGGGTACATCTTTCCAATATGGTTTGTGGCGGAGTGTGACTGTGGTGCGCGAGTTCCCACTGGTGACTTCAAACAGGAAGTCCATCCCCGGAAACTCACTTCTCCCCCTTTGTTCTAACGCAGTGATTCATGTTTCTCGTGCCTCAATTCATTTACACACGACACATTATTTCTTAAAGGTGTTAATTTTAAAACATTCAATTTGAAAAATATATATATATTAGTATTTAAAGAAAAGGTTAATAAACCATGACTTATCAAATCCCATTTATTTTGCATTGCATGAGTCAATTAATTGCTGTTGGTTATTTCATGACGAAAAAACAACTGCGTTCTGTTAAAGTTGATGTCAACATGATATTGTTTATTATCTAATATTTAGGTTCAAAACGCACCGGAGGCATGACACGACATGATTGATGTCCAGACGTCACGATGAAATTGACTACCCATCGCCAGGAAATGAATATGAAGTGTGACGGTCACGTGATGCTATTGCCGCCAGATACGGGACTGTCATGCGTGTGAACGCGTGCTTTTGCGATAACTCCGTCACTTTTTTGAAACTTACATGTTATGTTACATATAATGACAAAGGAAGTCGTTTACGGAAGCTTAATAAGCGCCTTTCCTCACAGATGATTGACGTAATTGATTGTGTGCGCTGTTACGTAATGGATATATTGCTGATAAAATAGGGAATATGGCAAAAGAAGACTTACTGATGTGTTTACTAAAACATTTTTTATGCATACATTTAGTGATAAATGCTATAACTATCAAAGATTCTTTCAACTTTCACTGAAATTACATATAAAAAAGGAACTACTTTCTGTCTGTCGCAATGACACAACTGCTTTCAGTGGAACTTCGTCACAGTGATGACGCAACATGCCTCCTGTTTGTACACAAACGCGCTTCTCCTGCGTAGAGCCGAAGTCTTTGAGGATGGGTTAAAAAAGAAAAGAAAAAGTGTCAGCTGGAATGAGTGAGTTTGGTTTTACGCCGCTTTTAGCAATATTCCAGCAATATAACGGCGGAAGACACCAGAAATGGGCTTCACCTAATGTACCCATGTACGAATCGAACCCGGGTCTTTGGCGTGACGAGCAAACACTTTAACCACGAGGCTACACCCACAGCCCCCTTGTGGTTAAGACGCTGGGTGATCACCCCGAAAAGGCGGTGAAGTCGTTTCGTTGTCTCCTTGAAACATCTGGTTTTATTGTTCTTATTGTTATTATACTTATTCAATATGTGGTCAAACTACGTTTAAGTGTTCTGTCAGGGTAAGGAGATTTCAATGACAAAACATAGGTACGTACAATTCCTCATATTTTGTATTGAGTGAGATATCTAATATTCCAGCCACATAAAGACTACGTGCACAGGTTTGTTTGTTTGTTTGTTTTTTAACGCCGCACTCAGCAATATTCCAGCTGTATGAGGCCGGTCTGTAAATAAACGAGTCTGAACAAGACAATCCTGTGATTGACATCACGCGCATCGATCCACGCAATTGGTATCGATGACATGCATTAACCAAGTCAGCGAGCCTGACCACCCGATCCCGTTAGTCGCCTCTTACGACAAGCATAGTCACCTTGTACGGCAAGCATGGGTTGCTGAAAACCTATTCTATCCCGGATCTTCACGGGTCCCAGGCACAGGTAAATGTCGAGGTAACCGACAAAAGATGACAAGACAGGATAAGCTGCATGAGAAATTTATTGAAAAGAGCATTATGCACAGCAATAGGCAAAAAGTGCCCGGACGTGCCTGTCAATGTGTCAGAGGGAGTCTTATGGCGGGACGTCGTGGTCGCTGACGTAGGTGGTTCAGGTCTGGGCAGTGGTTACGGCGGTCTGGGTCCTGTTACTGAGATGGCGACACGCATCCACCGGTCTTGTGCGGACATCGTCACACGTAGACGTCCGGGTCGGGGACGGTCTTGACGTCACTGCTGATTCTGACTTGTGACATCGGCGGTGAAATGGCGTTTCTGTGCAATAGAAACAGTTAACCAGCTCGCGTTGAGACATTCTACCATGACTTTCCAATGGCCTGATGACGTGTTTGTCGTGGCGTGAACGACGGAATGTCCAAAGAGTGGCCTTTTAAAAGGGAAAGCAACTGGTGGCCCGGATGAGGTCAGCTGGTGCATGCTCCAAGTACAACAATGGTTTCCATGTGTTCGTGTCGTTGTCCGTGACGTCACAAACTGGTGGCCCGGATGAGGTGCCTCAGCTGGCGCGTGCTCCAAGTACAACAATGGTTTCCATGTGTTCGTGTCGTTGTCCGTGACGTCACAAACTGGTGGCCCGGATGAGCTGCCTCGGCTGGTGCGTGCTCCAAGTACAACAATGGTTTCCATGTGCTCGTGTCGTTGTCCGTGACGTCCCACAAGATGGCATGTTGAATCTGTTTGAGTCACACTTGTCCGCGTCCGCGTCTCTCATCATTTCATATTTCCATCTGATATTTATTTTGGTTTTTGATATCGACAGTTTCTTTTTGTGGCCGGTAAATATCATTGATGTAAATGCCGTAACTCTACAGAGTCACATAAACTCAGTTGTGATATCAGATGTCACGCTCGGTCAAATGTCAAGGCCAACGACCATAGCTCAAGGTCAGGAACGCCGAAGCAGCACGGCGACATCACGACAAGAAGATACCCGCTGAAGTTCGTTAAACATAAAAGGTCAACGCTGACCCTAAACCCATTAATCCGGGATGTACAGTTCCCGATGAAATCGGCACGGAATGAACGACGTCATGATTATATTCGGTGGATTTGACTTGACATTTTAGACGTCAAAAATAATAATCCTCCGGAAAGCAGGCTGTCCAAAATAACAGATCCAGACTTATGGAATTGAACTTAAATCGAATGGAATTGAATTTAAATATATTGTAAGTGATTCCGTGACATTTGACCAAATAACTGTTAAGCCAAGCCCACTAACGGACTACTGTTTCCTGATTGGCTGATAATAGAATGGGCGGGGTGTTATTGCGCGGAACGATCTCACTGAGTTTGTACTGTCGTCTACAATTTTTTGTTTTAAGCTTTTCATGATAAAATAAGCAGTCGGTGAAGGTAGTATTGCTGACGTATTTATATATAAGAATTGACTTTAATATGATGATGCGTTTAAGGAGTACATGTATGTTGTATCAGGTAACACCTGGTGTGCATACGCGTAAATATGTTACGTCCACAAACGCAAACATTGGTAGAGAATATTAGTAGATATATGTTTACTCATGGTCTGATTAAGCTGTAATCGTAACCCGCCTGTGTACACTGTTTACACATGTTTGGGGGGCACGGGTGGCCCTGTCGTCTAAGGCGCCGCGATTCGCTGTGCAGAGTTGCGTTCCTTGGGCACGCTAGAAACCTATGATTGTGGGTACGAATACCGGTTCGCCCCGATTATGTTTCTAGGTTTGTCAGCACCATACCCGTGCTCGTGGGTTTCACCGAAGTGGTAAACGTCTGAGACCTGCATCACTTCGGGCTTTCCTCTCACATTAAGCCGACACGCCGCGATATAACTGGAATACTGTTAAAAGCGGCGTTAAACCCAACTCACTCACTCACTACACATGGTTGGTTGTAGTGACGCACGCAAGCTCTTCCTCCACCTACAGACACATACCGTCGTGGGGCACTTGTCGACATGTCTTACATGTAGGAGGTGTGAAAACTCATGTAAAGGTCGAAGTATGTGATCGCATCGCGCATTATGTTGAAAAGCGGACGTGTGATGTTTGGCAGGTTTGTAGAAGACAGTGCTTCAAAATAGATATGTTCTTTCGAGATGGTGCGGTCATCAACGAAATCATGGTATAACGTACCTCTGGTACCGCTGGTACCGCTGGTGGGCCAATCAGAATGGAAGATTCTAAAAACTCATGGTACCATGTTGTTTCCTGCTGACGGCGTTGTCAAAACATTCCCTGGCAAACAATTCATCTATATTATATGATGTTTGTGCGAAAAACGCGGGCCCTGGATTTAATGATTTCTCAAGCCTCGTTAACGTTTAAAAGACTGCGGAAGGAGCTGTGCAATTAAACGGCAACATGTCGGGAGTACTCTCATCCGTGATTTTGTTGCTTTGTTCCATCCACAGAAATAACCTAGCTGTAAATGGTAGTGTCATAAATGTTACAACCACAAGCCTACCTGGTGATAACAATGTTACAACCACAAGCCTACCTGGTGATAACAATGTTACAACCACAAGCCTACCTGGTGATAACAATGTTACAACCACAAGCCTACCTGGTGATAACAATGTTACAAGAACTGGTAAAACGCTGAAGGAGTTAAACATCAACAGACACGTTGACAGCACAACGTCAGTGCTAACAGACACAGCATCCTCCGATGGTGCATGCAATAGTACCTTCAATTGTTCATCAGATCATGTGGACGTGACAACTGTGAGGGATGACCCATCGGTCCAATGGCTAGTTTCTCCCGAGACATATAATGCTATTAATCCTGTTATCAGGATAATAAATACCGTTCTATATATGTTGGCCTTGATCTTAAACAGTTTAAACATATCGGTGTTCATGTCACATAACCGGTGCTCGATAAACTGCTACCTCATCGCTACCAGCCTCCTCGACATCCTGAGCGCTGTGTGTTACTCTGTTGGAATAATCTACACCATGGTTACTTCTGATGACACATCATTATTTTACAGTATCTTCAGAATCTTCAGCGGAATTTATTTCGGACCTGTGTTCCAGAGAAGTATGAACTTTCTGGTGTTTCTGGTGTCTATTGAGAGACTAATCGTGGTGGTCTATCCTTTGAAAGCTAAAGAATTTATGTTAATGAGACGCCCCAAATCCATCATCATGATTGCAGTTTTGACCACAGCTCTGTTCCATATCTTCAGTCCACTCCGTTATACGGTCACTGCCACTACAGACCCAACAACAAATGCTACCATATTCTCCGTGGTTCCATCACAACTCTTTCTACAGAATCGGGCCATACTCCGAGGCATGAGCACTGCGAGTAAAGTCCT